CAGAGTAAGCAGACATCCTCCAGTAATATGAACGCACATGAACCCGTGGGCATGTATCCCCTTTATATTTATCGAAAGTGGGAGCTTTGAACTTCAATGGCACCCTCATCCCAGGGACCAGCCCCATGGTAGCCATGTCCAAACGTGCATAATTTTGATTGGCTATACCTCTTATCTGTTCTTCCAACATTTTAATCCTCCGATCATTGTAGCGGTAAAAATCGTGAGCGTAAGTTATTAATTAACTTAACTCAAAAAACAAGAGTCGCCACCGCACTTTTATTTTATCCAAAAAAGGAAAGGAAAAAGAGCGAACAAAACCAAATAGTTCTAAAATAAGAACACGAGACATAGATCGGGGTAAGGGGGTTGGTTACGCAATGGGAAGGTGTTAGCACCCAAAACGTCTATAGTACTCTATAGGAGCCCTTTGAAATATTTACGTTTTTTGGTTTGAAAATGGTTTGTTTGAAAAGAGATTGGGGAGATGAGAAGAGAATTATTTTTTTAGATTTTTTTGTGTTTGGAGAGACTTATCGCCTCATGCCTACGTACCCACAAAGTGCAATATGGGATCAAAACCCCGTAGTTCGTGGTACAAATGACAAAAATTTGTTGGTTTTGATTGATTTTTAGATGTAAAGACAAGTCGTCATTTCAAGGAGAAAACTGCGACTATCCACCCACGAGTATTAAGACAACATCTGCGTCACATAAAGATGGAGGATTTGCTTGGATTATCAACAAGACTATCACTCAACATCAACGTGGAAAATGTCAAAGTCTTAATAATATGGGGAATAGAAGATTTACATCTCAACTATAGAAATGAATCATGTCTAAACTTTATGAAAAGTTTTAAAGTGAAAAAGTGCATAAAGGCACAAAAAGAGTTGATGAGTTTTTGTATTTTTTTATGTCTTTTGAAATTGGTCAAAGCATGATTAACATTGATTGACTTTTATTAAGAAGAACAAAGTTTAAAAATCACTTGACGAAAGTCAAGGTTTTATTGCGAGAGCGGTTTTGAAGTTTGAAACCAAGAAGGTTTTGAAAGAGGGAGAAAGTTTTGAAAATTTAAGAAGGGGAGGAGATGAAGTGACTATCCTAGAAACCAAAATAAGAGCTAGAGGTAAGAAAGATCTAACCGACTTGTAGCACACTCCATAGCAAGCAAAAAGAATTCCATCCGACTTAAAGCATAAGCTAATGAGCGAGCCAAATAAAGGCTAAGATCCACAATACTCCAAGCATAGGAATGAAAGTCCTAATTCTAAGTCCAAAGGTCCAAGAATTCCAAGGTCTAAGAGTAGTCCAAGAGCATAACCACAAAGTTAACAACACCAAGTTTTTTTTTAGAGATTTTTTATCCTTTATTAGTGTTTTGAACAAAGTATGGTCCAAGTGGACAAAAGAGAAAATGACATAAACATAAACAAATATATAAAATGAAATGATAACATGGAAACATAAAAGTAAGAAATAAGGAGTAAGAAGAGAATATAAACAAAATTAAACAAGGATAATGTTTGTGAATTAGTAATTAGTGGTTAGAACATATGATCAATGATGATTAATTCTTGCACTTAGACCAAGGTTGATGAAAACTCATTAGAGGATTGATAGAATCAAAGCCTCCTAACAATGATTTTCATAGGTATTGGACTTAAGACAAGCAACTAAACATGGACTTTTAAACGTAAGTTTGAGCCACGAATGATCATTTTCCGATTAAGGGATACTTTAGCGCTATGTTAAGCAATCGTAATCGGGTTTATGTAGAAACCACGACTATATGAGGCCGGTCAATAAAATGTTAGTGTTAACACATGTTAGAGAAGTGATATGTAAATCACTCTCCTAAAACATGCCACACAAAAAGAAAAGAGGTAGTGATCTCATCATAATCAAGATTTTAATCAATTAATCAAAGGTAATCTATCACTATTCCAAAGTACGGAGAATTATCTCAATGATTATTCGTCCATAGATTTGAAATAATGAAGATTAAACAACTTTGATAATCAACAATCTACGATCCATAGATTTCATCGATCAAAAGAAAAAGAAGAATAATAAGAACTAAAATGAAAAGAAATCACAATTTGAATCTTAAATCGATTAAATCATCATCAATATCAATCACCTCTTTTAGTGGATAAAATCGACACTCAAAGTCCATTGATATTGATGAGATCTTATCAAAATTCAAGATCCAAAAACAAAATTACAATTAATCTAAATTAATATATATTTTATTTTTTTTTAAATCAATTTTTAAGAGTTTTCTTTAAAATATAAAACTATTAACAAGAAAATGTTAAAAGGCCCATACGACCCAAATTCCTTAAGAAAAAAATATATAAAAAAAACAAGTGAAAAAACAAAAACAAGAAAATAGAAATCAGAAACATTATCTTCTCCATTCTCAACCGTGACACTGTTCATACCATAGCCATGAGTTCAAAGCTTGCTTAAATCAAAGCGGCGGGACGCGAAACTAACACGGTTGTGATCAGAATCAAGAGCTCTTCACAACAGTATCAACAATTCAAAGAAACACAACAAAAAGTAACGGATCGGTGAAGCTCAAACTACCTTCAAATCACGAGTAACAATCAATCCAAACTTCCTCTTGCTTCTCTTCTTCTTCTGAATGAATTCTGGTTCGAAATTGTCTCAGTTTTAGGTTAATTTGGAAGAAAAAAAATAGAAGATTGAATATAGTATGAAATGGTTTTGATGAACGAAGAAAGTATGAGAGGTGAAGAGGATTGAAGCTTGAAGAAAATTAGAGGTTGGGGTGATATTTCTGCAGAAGTTTTCTGGGTTTTCAAGCTTGAAGAAATGAAAGAGGTATGTGTTCTATTTATAGATGGAGGAGAATGAAAATGTTTTGCCGTTTTGTGTTTTTCATTGCGTTTTGGTTGCAAGTTGTGCGTGATTTTTTGCTGATATTTTTTTTCATGTCGTTTTGCTTATTGCTATTTTCAGCTCTTTTTCAAGTACTTGACGTGGACTATTTTTTTTTGTTGCAGCTGGCTCACTTGACTTTATAACACGGCTGGGATTTGGCTTTGGCTTTCATGGCTCAACCTCAATTTCAAGCCACTTTCGCTATGCTTCTGGAACAATATTTCCAATGGCAACATGTAAAAGATTCACAGAGACGAGAACAAGTTTTTTTTTTGAGACAGAGAGTTAATGGCATCACAACATCAGCTTTTCCAGTTTTTACTCCAGCAATGAAGAGCAAAATGAAATACTCTTTCCCACTCAAAAGGAGGTTCAACCTCAAAACTGAGTGTAAGGTGCAAGGAAAATCCAGTAGAACCATCATTAACATTATAGCTTGTACAGGCCTCATGTGGAAAACCTCTAGGAATATACAATACATCAACCTCCCTAAGAAAGAACTCAGTTCTACCAACTTCTGTACATTCAATATCAGAACCACATAGATTATCATATAAGCGGGGTAACAGCTGACCGTGTCGAGAATACACTCTCCACTTCTTTGAGCCAAAAATTTGGCAGACAAATACACAGTGATCATCAAAGTGACGGGCCAAACCCTGAGAATTAGGTGGTGTTAAGTACAAATTGGCACCTACTGAAGGTTGGCCAAACATAAGAGCTAATGCATCGGCAATAGCAGCAAATGTTTCTTGTCATATGCCGTTCGATCACCGGTTCTCAACATTCTTTCACATTCCTCTGATGCAGCAGTCGCAACCTCTTCTGGTAAATTCATCTGGAGAACCATCTCTTTGACAGCATTTACCCGTGCTTCAGCAACCGTGCTTCTCATTTTGGAGACAACGGAGACATGCTTTCACTTTTTTTTGAATTACAATTTTCACTTGAAGAACTGTCACAGCAACTGCGCTTGTCGTCCTTTGAAGAACTATTGCTTGCTCTTATTTTAGTAAGACACTTGCCAGATAAAATGTTGCTGACATTGATAGAATCTGCACTTCCTTCAGATAACAAATCATCTGAATCAGCTTTGCAGTAGGATATGATAAGATCCTGGTCACTGGTTATGTATATGTTGTTTGTATTGCAGTCAGGATGCCACAAGAGATGGTCCTCAAAAGAAGTTACAAGCTCTCCACGGAAGTTCTACACAGCCATAGTCCGGTTTAGAAATGTTAAGAATAGTTGGTTCTCATATAGAAAGATAAATGCAGAAGCCCAGAATAGTCATTCCCAGAAAAGCCTCTTAATACAGTGCTTGGAGCAAGAGGGCCTTTAAATGCACTCATACATTGATCTGCTGAGGAATAATTGCTCAAAATAGTAATTGAGATGCTCAACTCCACCATAATTGTCGAAATTGTCGGGATCCATCTTGCATGTATCTATTTTCCCTACTATCCTCATAACTTTGCTTATCATGGTGAAGGAAATGACAATGGCTGCCTATTCTGCAATTCCCAACAGCAAAATCTCTGCAAGGTCGTATCAATCTGTCAACCCTTGTTCTGTTCTCATCATCGACAGCTGAATACTTAAACCTACATGGAGGGCTCCGACTTTGGCTCCTGCTTCTCCTGCCGTAATCATTTTTTGCAGATTGACTATGCTTCCTATTTTTCAATTCCTCAAACCTTGGAGATGTTTTCATATCATAACTTCCATCAGTGTCTTGTGCAATTGTTGCATCCATCGTAGACACAGTGAAAAGCCTTATGGCTTCTTGCACATTCTCTTCAGTAGCAAGATGAGATAGTTTCATCTTTGCAAGTGACTCACTCAACCTTACAATAGCTTCCAGCTGCCTTACAGTAATTGGTATTGCAGCAGCTGCTCCAGTTTCATTGTCTTTAGGTTGCACTTGATCAATCTGTTGTGCATAATTGTCAATTGGTAGATCATTGTTTACTACATTTGTTACCTGATGTGGTTTGTCTATCCTTGCTTTCATAGATGCGAGATTTCCATCATTTAAGAATGAGGGATATGGTTTAGACACTTTGAATAAACAGTTCCTTTTCTCAGCACTTTCCACAAGTTTGTTCCATTGTACATTCCTCTGAGTCTTTCGTATTTCCATGAACATGTAATACTCCACCACTTACTGCCCATAATCTGAGAGAACCATCATGGGATGCAGATAGGATTCCTAGATCAGACATCACAGCCAAGCCACGAACTGTATCTGAATGTCCTTCAAAAGTATGTAAACAAGTTTTTCCCTTCCATGTCTTTAAAGTAGTGTCACTTGAACCTGTAACAAGCTCTCCTGTGGGTAGCTTTATAACTGCTTGAATCGCTGACTTGTGAGCCTCCCATGTCTCAACGCATTGCCCATTCCTCCACCGTTTCAAAGTACAATCAATGGAGGATGAAACAAGATCTCCATCATCAAACGCAATGCCGGTGACCTGATACTGATGACCTTTGAGTGTATGAAACTTCCCACCTGTGTTCAAGTCCCAAACCAAGACAAGAGTATCCATGCCGCCAGAAGCGACACCACCCTGAGGCAAATCGGAATTCGGAGGAATCCATGTCAACGGACCGACGAAGCTGGTGTGACCTACAAGAAGTTTGGAAGAGACGAATTTGTGATTTTCCTGAGACCATAACCTAACGGTTTTATCCCTGGATGATGCGGCTATGTCGTCGTTTCCGCAGATGGTTATTCCACGAACGTCGTCTTCGTGGCCGTGAAGTTCACAACGTAACTGATACTCTTTGAAATCAATGTCCATTTTTTGGTTTGACAGAGAGAGAAAGGATCAAACGCTCAGAGGTTAGAAGGAAAACTCAGCTTACACTCTTCTTACCATGTCCATCCATTCTTCTAAATGACCTCCTACAGAAGATAGAGCCTTATTCCGATACCTAATTCCAGCATCCAAAGTGGCCAGGTAAGTTTGTTGACTAGTACAAGAGCTTTTAAATTCAAATCATGGCGGCAATGTTTTTTTTCAAGTAATCAGAATGATCATGGAAATATGATATGGCTTTCTTTAAACAGGTGACAACGACTTCTCCAGTTAGACTTGCATTATCGGTTGAACCAGACAGCAGCTTGCCAACATATCTTCTTATCACAGTTTGCAGTGTCTCGATAAGCTTAAAAGCACCTAGTACATTTTGCAAGCCATCAACATTTAAAGCTGCTTGAACAACTGTTAGATCTTTATCATCAAGCTGTCTCAAATTGGCCTCTTGGATTTCAACCTGATCTCTTATGTTCATCTTGTCAAATTCATCAATGCAGCAAATACCATTCATACCAGAATCCTCCTGGTTCATTTCTTCACGCACAACTTTCCAAGAACACGCTTCGCCTCACAATGACGACGGAAGTAGTACTATCTCCAAATTCTCTATCTTGAAGTTCAGCAGGTTCAAACAAAAGCTCAGCCGTAGGATGTTCTGCTTCCAGCATCTTGAGAATGGTAGCACCAAGGACATGGTTGACATATTCAGACACTAAAATCTTGTAACCTGCATTTTTTGCGTGTGTCGTTTTTTGACTTTTTGTTTGATGAAAATATGAAGTCGTTTTATCCACTTCATTTGCAGCTTGTATTATAAAAGCTCTTCCGGGTTGACGGTTAGCCGGTGATCTACGGCATCCAAGAAGGTTTAGCATTCACATCATCATTCAGAATCCTGTTTACTGACTTCAACTTCAAACTCATTGACAAAAGTCACACTAATCAGTCCTTGGAGATCATCCTCTAACAACTGACTCATTTGATTATAAGCATCTTCCAAAATATGATCACGTCTTATTCTGAACCGGTTTCTAGTAAATACAGCCTGAGATCCATGTCTTTGCCTAGCAGCAGCTAGTTGAGAAGTGAAAATTTTAAACCTGCTTGTAAATGGTATCAAGAATGCGGCCTGCTTTAAAATTTCATTTGCTTACGCATTTTCTATAACAGCCTGAGAGATAAAAAAGTCATTCACCCCATCAGCATGGAAGTCAGTGGGGGATGTAAATTGGCGTCTGTTGTTCCAATCTTGGAGCTGGGACAGGAGCTCAGAGAGGACTATGCTAACCCTCTGTTGAACGGCTTCAATAGACAGCTTTATTTCTTTCATCATGACAAGCAAGAATAAATAGCCACCATAAACTAAGTCAACACCATATGCAGTGGAAGTTCTAGTGTTGGATTCACGGGCGTTGGCCTCTTCTTGTGTAGACTCTAAAGAAATGGATGCTGGTTCCAGTATATGCAAGGTGTCCTTAGTGAGTCTGTCAACAACTGTGAATTTCTCTGAATCATCAAAAAGTCTAACATTATATGTACCAGCACAACATCAATTTTGATTGACATTTGAAAATTGGATTTTGAATTGTGGCAATCATCTTGTCTTGTTAAACTCTTGACAACCTTCAATCATCCTTTAAAATCACTTGGAAATGGCACACTTGAATGAGCACTTTGGACTTGTATCCTAAAACAAACATCTTGATTGAACATCCACCAAACCTGACTTGTACAGACAAAATTCTGAATCTCTGGTTAAAACTAGGACAAACTTCTCATAAAACACTGCTTAATAAACTGATGGATTTTAACACCAGACAATTTGATTTTTCAACAATCACATTTCCTGAGAAAATATCCCACCACCATGGGTAATTTATAGTTGAAGCAAACTCTTGATAGTTTGACCAAGATGAGGTCAAACTTCCATCTGATTTAGACTTGAATGAACGTCATTGCCATCAATCTCCTTGCAAAACCCTAAACACACAGAGAAGAAGAAGAAACAAACAAATTGAAAAATATTTTTGGTATTTTGGTTAGATGTTAGTAAACATAAAGCAAGTAAAAAAAACAACAAGGGACCTGAGAGAATCAAAAAGTATGATCTTGTTTGTGGAATCATATGCAAATGAAATGTGGGATCTTAGGGGTAAAAATTAGGGTATTACAATCATTATCAATGGGACCCTCAAAACCCATGCCTTGCCCAGAAAAGGCATCTTCCTGACGATCTCTATTCCAGTACGGACCCTCATTACCATATCCGTCATAAGCAGCATTACGACCATGACCATGACCACTTTGGAAGAACCTGGGGTCATATCTCAGATTGCCAAGCTCTTGATTAGCAGCCACTGTCCCAAACCCAGTATTGAAAGGACCCATCCCAGCACCATTAGTATTCATATTGCCAAACCCAGGATTGCCGTAGCCATTATTACCAAAACCTTGATTGTTATCACCAAACCCTCCTGTAATACCCCAAATTTTACCCTTATATTTAGTCAGTCATTTCGCATAGCATCCTATAGGTACATTTGCTAACCACTAACAAGTTATGGAGGTGTTTTGTTTTGCAGATTTGGTTCCAGGGGTATTTTGGTCATTTTACGCAAATTCTACTAATTCCTTGAAGACGGGCTGTTATTAAGTTCTGAGGCGTTTGATACACTATTTTTGAGGCATTTACCTATCACCAGGTCTGATTATATCAAGGTGCCAATTCGACGTGGCCGATATTAAAGTTTGTCGAGCACAACTGGATTTAAGACTTATTTTATTGCTCGTGGCTTATTTCCGGCACACCTCCGTTAATAAGGCACAGTTTTACTGGGGTATTATTGGATGGTTGCTCACAGTCTTTGGTCAGTGGAATTCAATTACGAGTAATGTTATTATTGATACCGAAACTGTTGTGATTACGGTGCACATCCGTGTTTTGGTTATGAAATGGTTGGTTAGCATTTAAATTGGATTTTAATCAGATGATGAGTTTGAGATTACGAATGAGACAAGTGCACGAATAAGAATATCATTTGGGAATGTTTATGTTTTATGACTATGTTAATGAATTTAAATATTTGTGGATTTATTCACAAATGTTTATAATTTTTTTAACTAGAAATAAATATAAATAGATTCAAGTTTTGGAAATTTTATTTCATAAAGATCTCATTATACAAGAAGGAGGGGATTGTTTCACATTTTTGAATTACTGTACAAGGAATTACATTAACTCTAAAAATCCTAAGTCCTAAAATTGCTAAGTGTCTTCATGTTGGCCCTTGAGTTTCTCCACGAGTCCCCGATCAACCTGCACATCAAAAAAATAGCAAAGCAGAATAAAAAATGTTAGAGTTTGTTTTCGACACTCTCAGAACAGTGTCATCATCGAGTGCCGGGAGTGGCACAACCGAAGCTGCGTCCTACCCCCGTTACCGATCCGTGCCGTTGGCGTCAGATCAGGTAACACCTGTTCTTATCGTTACGGGACATCCGAGAGATAGAAGTAATAAAAGAAGCGGGACTGATTCGTTTTGCCGCGATTGGGTTTCCAAACTGATACGAGAGTAAGGCAACATAGTCAATCTGAATTCAGACCCGGATGCCGGCAGGTCAAAGTCATTTTGTTTTCGAAGTTTCCAATACCTGAAAGTCCACGACAGCATCAGTACAAATTGATGACAGAAACTCAAAAGCAAGATAATTCATAAGATGCCACAAGTAAATGGAAATCCAAACTGAAATGCAAGCCAAGACTGCATCAAATTGCGTCAAAATAGTTCAGAAAACCAAGCCTAAAACAGAACAGAAATGAAATGAAACCAAACTGCATTAAATGGCCTCAACAAAGTATCAGAAAAACGAAGTGCAAATCACAACAGCATCATACGCTGTATCAAAGTTCAGAGGCATCGATTAATGTCAAGCGTCATTGCACAACAGCATACAAAAACAAGGCAAAAGAGCGGGTCAGTTCACAAAACCATGACAGAAAGCAAGATAGACCAAATGTGCAAGCACATTGGAAAAACAAATTACCAAACACATGGCTCAGTACATCAATATCATAGCCCAAATCATCATCACCAATTCAATCAACCTGCCAAAACTGCACAGAAGAGTCGAAGTTCATATCAGTTCAGAATACGCCACAGCACAAAATCATGGCATGAATTGTACCAGAACGAACAAGAATAAGCTAACATAAACATGTCAGTTCATAAGATAAACAAGTGCACAAAACCATAACAGTTCGTATCGGTCACCACGGCTCAGTTAATCAGCATCATGGCCCAGCTCACAGTCACAACCGAGCGTCGAAACCAACCAGTAGAAGGCAACCGCGACATCATCGAAAAACATCTCTCGAAGGCTCAGAACGATGTCATCATTGCCGTATACCTTTCCCGGCAATTCTGACTCGACCAAAGCCGTGGTATCAGCCCTCTCTGAAAGAAGAAGAGGAAAAGAATCTGAGCTGCGTCAAAAATCAAACAAGTCAGTTCGAGATCGAAAATGAATCAGTTCAGATATCAAACAGAAAAGCGAATCCATCAAGGAGTTCTGGAAAAGAAAGGTGTGAACCAATATCAGATATCAATCAATCCAACCTGAAGGTGCAAGGCAAACCATATCAGAAAAATAATAGAAAGAGATTTTGATTTGATATCAATTCCAAATCAGAGGAAAAAACGTTTCGAAGCAAATCCAATCACAAATCCAATCAGATCCTAACAAAGTTCAATCAGATATCAGAATCATACCAAATGAAATCTAAATCATATCTGTCAACAAAATGGAAAGTTTCAAATCAGTATCAGATTGTATCAGAAACAGATGCTAACAAATCAAATCGAATCATCAAAAATCAACACTGAATCAAATCTCAGCCAAAAAGAGCAGCAAATCGGATCAAAGGCCCAAAAGAAAGATCGAAAAAGAATGTATAAAAAGGGATGATTTCACCTCAGAAAGGG